TGCCATGGCAAGGTTTGACAATCTCGGGAGCGACTGCGCCAGCAGGGAAACCTGGAGAGCGTTCCCCGCTGCTCGGTGCTTTCTTGGTGCTGGCTGTGTTCGATGTCAGCGTCAGAGAAAACCTTAGAAAATCAGATGCTGGGGTTGTGTCATTCCTAGGAGTTGCTTTCTATTTGACAGGTGTAGGGGAGTAAATTTGGAAGTGGCAGTGGTACGCTCTGGAGGGAAAGCTGCTCTGCAGGTGGTTGAAAGCTGCTCAGGTGGAGCTCCTTGTCCTGGAACTGGCCTTTTGCAAACTGTAAATCCCACGGAAACAGCTGTAAAGCTGGAACTCGGATACAGACGTTTCAGCTGTTTGTCTACATGCTAATATAGTGCGGAAATCTCAGGTCAGAAGGAGTTAGTCCTGGAAGAGCTTGTGTACAACAGAAGTAGCCTTGTCCAGGAACTTGTTCCTTTCCTTAGGAATTTCTTAATCAGGGCAACATTCGCATGAAGCTTGGCGTTATTTTCACTTTTGTCCTGCAGCATTCAAAGTGCTTACAGGGAAAAGATGTGAAAGAAAATACAAAATTTATTTGGAGAATATTTTGCTTGCATGTATTTTAAATTAAATGCTAGTATTTATAGCAAGTATGTGGGAAAAATCAGTTAATCGTTGTTATAGTAAGAAAACTAAAGAAAGGGCAGAAATAGCAGTACTTGAATAAAGCACTTTAAGTGATGAGGAACCAGTAAACCCCCCCAAAGGGTATTGCTCATTTAATGGAAATTCTGTATAATACCAGGAGGGATAGTGTTTCCAGCAATAATGCTTTTTTATATGTTTTTTTTTTTAAAAAAAGGAGAAGAGTGGTTGTACTAGACTTTTAGATATTGCATTGTTACTTTTGTCCTGAGTTTCCAACTGTTGATGCCTACTTGAACCGGGAAACCTTTTGAAATCTCAGGCTTCTGTTAAAGAAGAATGCCAAATGCATTTAGTGGAATAAAATACCTTAAACGAAGCCCCGCTTTTAAGGAAGAATTTCCTGTTGCTAGCACGGGAGAGTGGAGGCTCCAATGCATGCATTTTGTTATTTTGAACAACTTAAGGTCTTTCATAATGCTCTGATCCTAAATTCTGTAGAGAACCGAGTCCTAAAGTTCTTAAAAGTAGTCAGTGGGGAAGGAGCTAACTCGCTTTTAAAAACAAATGAAACCATCCTGCTTGAGCCCATTTCTGTTGCATCATCAGCTCAAACTGAGAGAAAGATTAATGCCAGATGCCCATCTTGAGATTATTCATATACCTTTGGGCTGTAATAACAAAATCATAGCTCGGAGCGGATTGTTCTGTGGTGTGCTGCTTGGCGACAGGTGCTTTAGGAAGAGGAACTGCAGGTCTCTGTACTTGCAGTTCAGGGTGCATTTGTAGGTAGGTACGTGTTACAATTGTCTGTTTTTCTTTTTAGGGCTCATGTAATCAAAGGAGTTTCTTTGTTGTGTGTATCTTTTCAGAACACAACAGGAATTCGAAATGAATCAGGTGAGTATGAATGTAAGACTTTATCAAAATACTTAGATGTTACAACAGTTAATTATTAATAAGAAAAGTAAATCATCCACTAAAAAGAAATGTTCTTTAGAACCTTCAGTGTTATTAACTTTCATAATCCTCCTTTCCACAATGTGTGCTTGTGAGATTTATTTTATTTTGTGTATTTAAGTTTTTGGCGTGTGAATTCCCTTTAGCAGTGTGGAAGTTATTACTGCTGGCACCTCTTATAAGAACACCTCTCCAGAAAAATCTATTTCATTTCGTAATAATTCATCTTGAAAATTCAAGGCTTCCATTTTATTTTTAAAACCTTTTCTAATGACTTTTCCATTTCAAATGTGCAGTGAACAATCCGTTACAGAAACAGATTCATTGGGAAGTTTCACGGTTTCCCCTGGAATCACATGAAAAAATGGGCAGGCGAGGCAGCGCTCTGCTGCTGGAGGCAAGAACATCCTGACGGGAGGGTGTTGTTTTAACCAGTGCCATGTGTGTGTGATTTTTATTCTCCCTTTGTCTATCCAAGTAGGAATTGTACATCCCTTGGTCTGTCACACGCAATTGTATTATTTACAGATACCTGCAGAAAAAGCATGTGTTGCCTTAAGTTTTTCTCCTGAGTACTTCTCTTTTTGGGTGGTCTTACCAAGGCCCTTTGGCATGGCAATGTGAGCACAGGGTAGTGCGCCGAAGGAATGCCGGGTTTATATGCTAAAAAAGTCAGCTCTGAACAGAAGCTTTCTTAGCCAGAAACCACCATGGTACACAGTCAGGTAAAATGCTTTGTATACTTTTTTGATTGATGCCTGTGTGTAATGTGTGCCTTTATTTCTCTTTATGCCCTCATTTGCTCAGCAGCAGCATTGACAGTTGTCACTGTGCTGAAGTGTGTTCTCCCTGAAGTTACAAAAGTGTGTATGTAATAGAAGTAACTGGTGTGAAACGACTTGGTGAGATGTGTCCTGTTTCTTTTTTCCCTCTGATTTAAAGTAAAAAAGTCTGCAGCATATATGTGTGTATTTAAAAGGAAACAGCAAAGTATGATCACTGTCAGAGCCTTGAAGTACCTATCTATAAACTATCATATATAATAAAGTAACATTTGCATTAGCATACTTTTAGGCCTTCAGAGTAGTCTAGTTGGGGTTGCTTAGGTCAACTATTGCTTCACGCTTCATTTCTGTTGAGACTTGACATTTTTTCACCTGTGACGTTTTTGAATGCAGTCAGTGGCATGAAACAAACAGCGTATTGCTCGGTCTTCCTGAGTAATAATTCTCCTTTAGTTGTTCTGGAAAGCTTTGGATTCTGCTAAAATTCTGAAAGCTGTAGAATCCTGATCTTTAATTGTTATTGTTGGCTGTTTCCTTCCCGTTTGTGTGTCCGTGCCCCTCTGCCTGCAGTCCGTTTCTAGGATTAAGATTTCTGTGCTGTGTGAGAACAAAGTCTTCATCTCTCGTAGCGGGACTGCTCGTACTGTCTGTGCAGTGCTCACAAGTTGATGGTGAGGTGACCTTGCCTCAGGGATTGCTAACGGTGCCTTAGAGTCCTCTGTCGTGTTCCTGACTTGCACATTTAGTTTCCGAAAGTGTACGGAGTGTTTCTAACAGCGGATGGCTCTCTCTCCGTCGGTCACCGTTCCCATGAAGTGTGGATTCAGCATCAACCCTGTGGTGTTTTTTCTTGCAGTGCCCTTGTGCTTTCATTTGCGGTTGCCACGCTGTAGTGCCAGGTCTGTATAAGAAGTGGTTTCGCCTGATGCCAAACGTCTTGCTGTGCTCTCTTCTCGGGCTTGTTTTGTTGTACTCACCTTGCTTTTGGTGTGGCTTCAGTGACCCTGACACTAACTGGGCCAGTGGCAACTTAGTTTATGTGGAAGGACTGCTAATTAGTTTGTTTATCCCATTGGAATCTTGAGATAGTGAAGGAAAACCTTCTCATAAATACTTCGATATGACCTCCTTGCAGTAAGGAGAAGGATTAAAGATACCAGGACAGCTGTTGCTGGAGTTGATATTTTTGGGTTTCTTGGACGATTGCTGACTCAAGATATCCATAAAAGATCTTTCTTTATGCAAAATACTTTCTCAGAATATGCTGAATAATTTATTTTTAAAAGCCCAAGCAAACCCGGGGCTATAATTGGTTACATTTAGTGCATCTCAGACCGCACTAAGGCAGAGCAGGGCGAAGGTTGCTGCCGGGGCAGTTACTCAGATGATGGTGTATGCTAACACATTCCAGCTACACCTGCACTCAAACTTCTCCTCCGTTCCCTCTGACATTTTCAGGTATTTCTGATACGTCTTTTAATTTTCAAACACAGAGTGAAATTGTTGCCACGAGGGGCAGCCAGACAAGGTTCTTGGGTCAGCAGTGTCCTTTCTGCTTCTGACTCTCCTTCCCTGTGCTGGCTGGTCCGCTCAGCAGTCTTCTTAGTCACTTCAGCTCCTTTCCACAGCAGCCTCTTCTAACTTCCCTGCCATCTCCCTCTCTCTCTCTTTAGAGGCATCCTGTCCTTTGTCTTTTCATTTGTCTTAATCCTACTTCCACCTAAACATGTCACCGACTGACTGTTTGTCATTCATCACGTTGTTTGGAGTAATTTTTTTTTTTTCCTGGTCACCCTGATCGCTCATCATGTGTAAACATCTTCATGCAGATACTGTTTCTGCTCTGCCTAAATACTGCTTGTAACATCATAGTCCAGCTTGTGGTCGGTCCTAGGTACATCTGTATTGAAAGGGGCATGAAAAATTCCCTAATGTGTTGAAAGGTGCTGTCAAAGTGATGGGACTCTGAATTCAAAGCAAACAGGGCAAGATATTTTCAGTTAAGGCACCTCTTCAGCCCTGAAGTGATATTTTTTTTTTTTTTTTGCATTGTTCTTAACTTAATTCACCCCTGCTAATTTGCATGCTAGCAATGTAGTATCGCTGATGAGCTTCAGAGTAAGGAGCTTAAAAGTGCAGTGAGCTTCAGGTGCTTTTGTGTTCAAAACTGCAATCTTGGAGTGAGTCAAAAATACCATATTAGGACTTTAAGTTAAATGCAAAAAATCTTAGGACGTGCACTGGTACACTGTCCTTCTTGCACAAGCTGTACATTGTACTTTCCTTTATTCATAGAGGCGTACTCACTTGTTTCGTTTGGAACTTTTATGCATGTGTTTAGAAAATGATGGACACAATTGAAACGGAAGGCTGCATGGGCAGGTCTGGACCCTCAGACCATAAGTGCCCTTGCCCTTTGGTTTGCAGCCGAGTTGTCCTTATGCTCCACCCTGAAATACCAGTTAGCTTTCCTTATGAACACAAACAGGAGAAAACGAGGGCATAGTCAGGAAAATTGCCACGTATTTCAGTTTTCACTTAGAAGAATTGTTCTTAAATGTACACAGAAGGTGGAAAATGCTTAGAATTGTGAGTTGAGTACAAACAGATATTGTTAGGACTTTAGCATGGCAGACGAAAAGCGGGACGTGAGCCACCAAGGTGCGCTGGCAGCCCCGAAGGCCAGTCGCGCCCTGGGCTGTGGCCAGAGCCGCGCGGGCAAGAGGGAGGGGGTCCTGTCCCTCTGCTCTGCGCCAGGGAGACTCCAGCCGGAGTGCTGCGTCCAGCTCTGGAGCCCCCAACACAAGAAGGATGTGGGCCTGTCGGAGCAGGTCCAGAGGAGGCCACAAAGAGCAGCGCTGCTGCGAGGCCAGGCTGGGAGAGTTGGGGCTGTTCAGCCTGGAGAGGAGAAGGCTCCTAAAGGGGAGACCTTACATTGGCCTCCCAGAGCCTGAGGGGCTGCAGGAGAGTGGGCAGGGGCTATTTAGGTGGGTGTGTAGGGACAGGGCAAGGGGCGATGGTTTTAACCGAGAGCAGGGGAGATTTAGATTAGATATCAGGAAGAAATTCTTCCCCGTAAGGTGCTGAGACCCTGGCCCAGGTTGCCCAGAGGTGCTGGAGGCCCCATCCATGGAGACATCCAAGGTCAGGCTGGACGGGGCTCTGAGCACCCTGATCGAGGGAAGCTGTCCCTGCTCTCTGCAGGGCTTGGACCAGGTGCCCTTTGAAGGTCCCTTCCCACCCAACGCATTCTGTGGTAATTTCCTACTTCTGTATTAGTAGACATGTCTAAGAGTTAAATATTCTTTTTCTCGCTGTTGTTCACTGTTACTTTTTATGGACAGATATTTATGTTCAGTCAAACAGAAAATGAAATGGATGGTTGATAAAACATAAATGTTTTCCCAGTCATCCTTTATATTAGTGCTGTCAATTCTAATAAAGGTACGTACCCACAGCTCTGCCATGGATCCAATCAAGCCTACATGGTTTTACTAACCTTTACTGAAATTTGCTTGCTGAGAGTAGTAATAGAGAAATTACTTTGCTGACTCAAGCAGATGTATTTAATCCATATTTGCTCTCCGTTTTGGAACAGAATTTTTAGAAGAGGAGTGTCTAGGTGTCAAGGAAAGGTAATGGAACGCAGTCACTGATGCTTCAGTGCAGGGTCAACTTGCATTATACGGGTTTAGGGACTTTTCCCGTTTTATTTTTTGTGGGAAGCCTGGTACTTAACCATACCACGTGACGAGGTTTTTTATGAAATAAAATGAAAAAACCTCCTATTGTTCTCGTGTTCCGTCTGTCGTGCTGCATAGTATTTTAATCCGAGAAGTGTGTTTTGGAAGGTCGTTTACTTGCCTCTCATCGCTCTCCATGTCAGTGACATGTTTCAGCAGCATGATTTGGACGAACGATGCATTTGTCCTGAAACACTTCTGACAACTTTCTCATCTTCAGGGTAGTTGCTGTTCAAAAAATAGGCAGCTAAGGGAGATTTCTACTAAAATTATCAGGTGTTGCTCTTAAATACACTGGACTTTCAGAAGCTGTCAGAAACATTTTCTAGCAGAAGAGATCACAGCTAAGATCTGGAGTACGACTGAAACTTGAAATAGTGAAGACTTTTGGTGACTTATTTTCAGAAAAGGCCTGAACGTTAGATTGGGTCAGTTGTAGCTGACTGTGATTTTTAAGAGCAAATTAATCTACTTCCTTTACTCTTTAAATGGAGTTAGACTTTCCAGGCACGTTGTCTAAGAACTAGTATCTTTTACTGCTACGTACTTTTTTGAAAAATTTGACTTGGTAATTTCCAAATGGAATTAAACCTATTGCTTACAAATGCGTAGTGTAATCAGAGTAGTTCTAATGCTTCAGTAGGATGTTTAAGGAACTGGAGATGCTTATAACTTGTACTAAGATTCTAAGACTGGTTCTGTGAACTTCTTGAAGAAGTCTCAGCAAGATAGCCTAGGGTGGAAGATCAGCTCTGCCATGTATTTTACCTGAAATTTGAAGAATGTTAATCGGAAATGGCACAAGGGAACATTATCTCCACGTAACGTAGCATGCAACACTACTGTTACTGACCTAATTACTTGTTAAATGTAGTTTCTCGTGACACAACTGAGCGGTAAAAATAACACAACTGAAAATTATTCCATGGGTGAGTCTTAGATGACCATATTAGTGAGTGCTTTCAAAGACTTAATGTGAAGCCTGAGCTCATATGAACCTATATTTTGAAAAACACAGGTATTTTCCAGGGTATAGAACCACAGCACTTTTTCGGTCATTCATCTTTAGGTGTAATGTAGTAGTGTTGTCAGGCAAATCATATTGAAACAGGAAAAATAAAATACCTTCAGGTCTATTCTCCAAGTAACTCAAGGGAAATTTTTCATTTATTTTCCTTGGCCTCTCCTTAAGCCATTGAATTTATTCTCAAGAGATACAGAAAAACCTTTTCAGTTAGATTTATTCCCTGTATACTGCTTGTAATCAAAACACGTCTGTTAACCAAAGCAGAAGAGTACTTGGAACTGCTAGTGAAAACCTGAATGTTCAGATGAAAAGGTTCTTCTGCCTTAGCCTGCCGATAGAGGGACCCCGGCTGAAATGGCCCTTTGGGAGTTTCGCCTGAATTTCAAGTGGAGCATTTTTGTAGCTGATACGAGTTGGTCGGTTCTTGTGCCGTTGGTTTTGCCTGTTAATGGCCACGGCCCTTCTGCCTTTTTGACTTGTAGAACGCGGCTGAATCTCCTGTTGCTGTGGAGAGCTTGGATGATGTACCTGAGCACGTGCTCCGGGGGCTTCCTGAGGACGTGAGGCTCTTCCCGTCCGCTGTGGACAAGACGCGGCTTGGTGAGTGCTACAGCTGTGCAAAGGCAAGGGAGGTTTTCACACCAGCTCACCGAAGTCAGAGTTGCTCTGGAAGTCTGGTGCCCTTCTGTGCTAGGGAGAGGTGGTGTCTGGGGCATTTATCTAAGAGTGAGCATCTTCCAAGCTTCTGCAGCATCTCAACGCAATGTTCCTAGAACATCAGAATTGAGGCTAAAGCTGGACTAAAGTGCAAATAGATGAGGTTACAAAAATACTGATAGGATGCTTCACTGGTTTCTTTTCACTTACAGGACTTCACTGGTTTAGTGTTTTGCAGCTGCTGCACTGTTACCTCTTTAGAACGTTGCCTCTCCCTGCCCAGTCAGTAGACAAAGTTTAATTTATAGGAACAGATTCAGCGCGGGATTGAGAACTGCTATTTGGAGCAAAGTGTTGTTCCTCCGATATGTGCAAAGTGCTCGGCTGCTTCTTACCAGGTTTAACGTGGGAGAAGTTTGATGGAAGTCAGAATTACAGACCGGGTATTTAGTGTGGAAGGGATGAGCCTGACGAGATGTGTTGCTGGCAGTAGCAGGTTATAAGCTCCTTGAGTCAAGGTTAATCTCTTCTAATGCGAACCTGATCTAGCATGGTCTGGATGAGAATGTTATGTTTGGTTAGCAATTATTCATCAGCCTGTACTTAGCTTTCATGCTATTCCATTTTCAGTTTGGTCAATAAATCTGTGGGCAAACGCACCTATTTTAATCAATCCTAAATGTCTTTTTTCTTCAAAATATACTTCAGCTTCCCAACTTTTGTGAGGGCTTTGTTTGCCTGGCATTATTTTAGAGAAAGAAAAGGGGAATTTTGTTTTAATACCATGTTTGTTCAGCAAAACAGCTGAAATCTGGGACTTCACAATATCAAAATTGTAATGCTTTTATGGCCTTTTGAGTATCACCTGAAGGACAGGAAAAATCAAGGTAGGCTTTTCTTCTTCACAGCTACAGTAGCCTGTGAACAAAGAATGAAACCAATTTTAAGCATTTACCAATGCTTAAACCTTTCATGATCAAAGTGAATTTGGGGGAGAGGATTGTTTGAATGCATTTTAGTAAACTTCAGTTTCCTTACTGTGATCTTAAATATTGTTGAATGTTCCCCCGTATGAATTGTGTGTGTAAGATTTGCTTAAGATAACTTAGATTAGTTTTAACTACTGATACGTGTCTCTTCAGGTGTCTGGGCAACAAAATCCATTTTAAAAGGCAAGAAGTTTGGACCATTTGTTGGTGACAAGAAAAAAAGATCTCAAGTTAAGAGCAATGTGTACATGTGGGAGGTAAGAAACAGCTTGTAAATGGAGAATGGTGTCTATCCCTGGCTTGATATTTTGCAGCTAGCCTTTAAATTTTCCCAAGATTTTATAAGTAGACCTGACATGAAATAAATGCCATGTCTCTGTGTCTGTCATTACAGAAAGATTTTTATTTTTATAGACACTTGGATTGTGCAACCGTTCTGAATTACAAAGCTTTAAGTTCTCAGCCTTGTTTAAAATTGCTGTATTAATTTTCTCACGTACTGTCTCTGGATCCCACCTGCCCTTGAGAGTGTATTCCTGGTAAAGATCTGCTTCGTTAGCTTGAACCCTGAGCGATAGCACTTCTGCAGCTGAGTACTGTCAACTGCTGATGAAATTAGGGAAATCAGGAGGATATGGAATCTGGTAAGGAAGCCACAGCACGCCTCCTCCTTTAGCTCTTTGGAAACCAGCTTTGTTACAGGAATTGGTTTTGCTTTTGGAGGTTTATAAAAGTTCTTGACTGTTGCAGTATTTCCTGTGTGGCCTGTGTTTGGGCTTGCCTTGAAGCCAATACTGTCTGGGCAGCGGAACAGCTCTTTCAGCTCCGCCGATAGTCATAAACCCTTGGATATTATGTAGATTTCAAAATGAAGGTGTCTAATCTGGAGTTTAATCCCACCTACAGTGTCTTTAAGGCAGTTTGTAATGACTTGCAAAGCTTTCTTCATCCTTTCTGAAGACACACAAAGCAAATGGCTGTAGCAAAGTGAATGTTCTGGAACAGAATGTCCTAGTCTACAGGTTTTTAGGCTAAGGGTATTGGTAGGACTCATTCTCGTGGCCTCTGGCCTACAGCAATTGAACAGCATAAAGTACTGGAGACATATGTATCATAGAATCCTGGAATGGCCTAGGCTGGAAGGGACCTTAGAGATCATCTAGTCCAACCTCCCTGTCACAGGCAGGGACGCCACCTCTCGACTAGACCAGGCAACACATGGGGACCGAGCGGGAATCGAACCCACGACCTCAGTGTTGGTCATTCTTGTCAGCACCACGCTCAAACCACTGAGCTAACCGGCCCCCTGATGTAAAATGTAAAATTCCATGTAAAATGGAATGTTAGCCCCTATCGGAGGAGCTGATCTAGAACAATTTCCCGTAAACGCCAATTCATGTTAAGAAAAGTAGTAAAGTGTGTAAGTGTAATGTTTGTTCATTGAACTAACATGAGCACAGACTCTTCTGCATCAGGTATCTCCAGTTTTGATCTGGTGTGAGACCACTTGGGGAGATTGAACCAGTCGAGTAAATTACTGACCTTGCAGTTATTCTTCTCAGTGCTGAGTTTTGAACTTTCTCAGTGGATGTGTCTTTAAGATTTTTTAAGTTTTTGGTGAGAAATAATAGTTGCAAACAAGCCGTTGGTAGTTTTCAGTACAGGCGATAATGAGAACCCTCGCTGGATTTCCAGGTAATGATTTGTTGCTTTAATGCTGATTTTGGAATTACAAAAACGCAGCTAAAGTGAGAGTGCAACAGTTGGCCCCGCATGCTGATATCTGAAACTGCTCCAGAACGTTAACCGTTAGAAAATATGATTTGTCGAAGGATGGTGGAGTGTGGGAGTAGTCAGGTGTATGGATCTTCAACTGGGAGAACAACCTTTTCTGCAAGAAGCCCGTTTGGTTTTTCAGTGAAGTTAATCTAAAGAAAAAATGAGGCTTCTAAAAGCTGCCATCTCCAGTCATTTTTAGGAATTCTGAACTGTCACGCTGGAGGGTCCTTCTGACCAAGATGGGTTTTGTGTGTCGGTGTACACTTGCTCGTCTGGGGAGAGAAAGAGGGACCTGACCCTATTTTTGTTTTCTGTTGGAAAAAAGCCACAGATTTGCAAATGACAAGTGACTGAAAACTGCCAGCGCGGTCTGGCTGTTCCGAAGGACTGGCACAACTGTGATCTCTGTCGTGGTTCACAGGGGCTGCTTAAAGTCACAATGTGATCTCAGAGCTGGAACTCTTTCCTCTCTCACAGTGCACGAGGCCTTTAAACAGCGTTCTGTAAACCAGAAGCTTTAACTCAAACGTAGGGAAGCATTTTGTGCAAATCCCATAAAACATTATAAAGCAATATATAAAAAACCCAGTAAAGCCGTCTGTTTTCCCGTATATTCCATATCTACTAACTCTTCCACAGCATTGTTCAGCTCTTCTTTCCTTCTACCCAAAGGGGTCACTGCCACAGCCTTGGCTGGAACCTGTTCACGCTTTCGCGTTGTAAGGGCTGCGTGTGCTGAGGGACATTCTTTCAGAAGTCAGCTGATGAAATCCGTGCTGGAATAGTTTAAGTAAGGGAAGGGAGCTGTTTTCTCCTCGCTTGGGAAGAAACTGATTTTTGGTGTATTTATTGAATCTTGACCTTTATTGATAAGATTCTAATTTATTAAATCGCTTAGTATATCAACACAAAAGAAATCAATTTTATTAAATTGTTCTTGTTTTAAGCTGTTGTAGAAGTGTATTTGAAAATATATAAACAGTTTGAAAACACTTAGAATTACTTGTCAGTGTCAGAAACAGTAAAAGCTACGACATTGTGTACAGAGTGGGAAAGCTATGGTGAAATGTGAATTGTAGTTTATTCCTTACCTGCGGTGGTGCTAAGTGGCTGTTGTAGGAGGTGAAGAGCTAGGGAGGCTGGGTTTTGCAAGGAGCTTGTACAGGCAGAGGCTCATATTTATAGACTTGTCCACAAGGAACAAAGCAAATAAAAAGACATACTCAAGTTGCACATATTTTTCCTTTTTTGTTTTTCTAAAAACGTGTGAGATGCCCAATGGTTGTGAGCCTTCTGCGCCGGTCAGGAAGCCTGTGTCCTGGGGCACAGGAGCGGAAGAACGGGAGCTCCAGTGGCCTGACGGTGCTGTGGTCTTTGGTTTGGAAAAAATCATGGAGCGTCCCCTGATGGCTCTTCTGGGAGGCATCTGGCCTGGGTTATAATAAGGAGAGTGGGAAATGCGTAACATGCCTTGAAAGAGATTTAGAGTTGCCCGTCATCAGAAAATACTAACGATGTCGGTAACCTTGCTTGATTGCAAGCTGTCTTGAAATGTAACACAGAGTAGGCGTTAATTTATTTTTCTTTGAGAACAGAAACCAAGGAATTCACACAGCATCTTGGAACGTGCAGGAGAAGTATGTTGACGTGGTCAATGTTTTAAGGAGATCACCAGATTTCTGAAATGTTAAGATTTTCCTTAATACCCTGAAAAAAGTGAAAAGATAAATTACACTTTCCCGTATCTTTCCAAATCAAATGCTTCTACTTTCCTAGTTCACAAGATGGCAAAAATAAAGCTCTTTGCAAAAATAAAGCCTTTGTATCTTAAAACTGTCATTTTATTAGATGCAAAACCTTAGGGGATCGTTTCCAACTGAAGCTTGTCAAACTGAAAAGAAAGCAGGCACCATTTTAAGTATTTTGGCTTTTGAGCCCGAAATCTTCAGGAAGGGCTTGTGGGCAAAATGTCATTTTTTCCGCCTGTCCTAGCTCCGCTGAAAGCCTGCCGAAGCCCAGGTGTGCTCCGTCGAGGACAACCCCTGCCTCTGCTCCCGTCCTTTGTGTTCCCTGGGTCTGTGGGGGATGATCACTGCTGTGTAGGTGATTCAAAGGATCAAAAATTCAAACTCAACAGCCAACGAGAGTATTAAGCAGGGATTCTTTACTGCAGCGCCGGGAGACACACGGGGATATTCGGCTTTGTCTGTGTTCCGGCTCTGTGCAGTCACTACAGACACATTTATTACACTTCCACAAAATAGTTATTGTATCTCCTCCTATTGTAAGAACTATTTCCATGCTCATTTCACTTCCCGTTCTGCCGTCTTCATCGCTGTCTGCTGTCAGTTCTTCCTATTCTCACCTGCCTTGGTGGTCGCTGGATGCCTCTGGTGGGCGTTCCCTCCGCTTCCTCTTCTGGTCTTTTGGTGACCTTCGCAGATTCTGCGGCGAGGACTGGCTGCAGGTCGCTGCTGGCGTTAAGGTTCTGCCTTGAAGCCACTGTTGCTCCTTCCAGCTAAAAGTTATCTTTGCTGTGAAGCAACTCTTGAGCTCAGGGCCCTGTTCCTACACTCTTCATGTCTGCCGGGTTTTACTTCACGGGGCTTCAGAACGCGCAGGGGTTCAGCGGCCGTGCGCTTCGCTGTTCCCAGGCTCTGTTTGCTGTTTCTGTCTCACAGGTGTATTACCCGAACCTGGGCTGGATGTGTGTGGATGCCACTGACCCGGAGAAGGGGAACTGGCTGCGGTACATAAACTGGGCGCGTTCCGGAAAGGAGCAAAATCTGTTTCCTTTGGAGATCAACAGGACTATATACTACAAAAGTTTAAAGGTACTGTCTGAAGAATCAGTTACTGCTCTGTTACCTTTTATTAGTAGTACTTTTTATTCCCCTTTATTAAAATCCTATTTTTTTACTATTTGTTTTAGACAGATTTTGAGAGATTTCATGAAATCTTATTAAAGTATTGTAAATGCTACATTTCATTGGCACAGAAGAATTTAGACCAGTATAGCTGACATTAAGATCTGCTGTTAAAATATAAGATACTTCTGAACACTAAGACTAGTTAATGATTTGCTAAAGCACCAAATTTGGTACTGACTATAATGAAAAACTATAGCAGATTATATAAAATAAATGTTTTTCTACTTCTGTAGGTACTGAGACACTTCCTACTGAGCGGTTTGTTTTTTTTTTTTTAGAAGTCAGTTATTTTTATGATCTTTGCATTGTATGGTTAAGATTGGTCATCAAGACACTTTTCTAGGTAGCTTCACAAAACAAATTTTCCACGTTTTTTACTACTGCATTTTTGTTAAGGGAGTGGGAGACAGGAAACAGTCTGCAATTCCTGGGGCATTCTATCTCCCAAACTGAGGGAAAAGGTTTAACTGCAAGTAATGGTAGCGTATGAGTAAAATACTGTGGTTATAAAGTATTATTTGAATCTCTGATCAAGAACCTACTAGCAGTGAGGATATACAGCTTGACTTTGCTTTTATTTTAAATGCTTTTGTGGTTTGGGGGTATATGCAGCCTTGCTCGTCTGCTGTTTGTGTTTTTTCTGTTTCCCTGTAAGGCTGACAACGCGAGTAGTCACC